TATATATATATATATATATATATATATATATATACATATATCTAACTTGTCCACTTAAATGGAGAAGCAATTTCTCAGCTCTATCATGGAGCTAAAATTATCTGGCAACACCTGAGCTCTGTGTCACATGACGTCAACTTCTTATCCCTATTGGAGCCAAACCTTATCATTGGCATCATAATCATTGGACTTGTCAAATCTATAAAACATTTAATATATTTTTTCCCGCTATTTTATTTTAAAATAATTGTTTTGATGAAAAGGTTGTAGCTATGAACTTTAATACTTTGAAATGTCCTGAAAAGTTTCTGTTTGTCATGCTGAGTTTGTATCTGACAGGGATCTTCGGAAAGAAGGCGTAAAGGTGAACGTGTATGTGGTGGACAGGCGCTGGCTCTTCTCTCTGTTTTGGTGTGCAGGGGTCAGTTCCGTCACCACCAATGCCTGCCATGTCCTAAAAGAGATGGAGCAGCCTGACTGGCACATGGTGAGAAACCTGTAGAAACAGCTGCTCGCTTTGCTTTTAAAAACCACTGCTTTCTGAGATCTGTGACCCTCCCTGACCCGGTGGACATGTTTTTATGTTTCAGTCACCCGATGTATACAGAACAACATGGATATCGGTAGATGTTGCATCCTTTATGATAATGATTGCTATCTTTTGCTATCAGTGGTAAGCTAACCACAGTTTCTTTTTTTTTGCATTTTTGATGGCATTGGAAAATGTTAATGGCCATGTACATGTTTGTTTTTCATTACAGGAAGAAAAGATGTTCATATCTCAATAAAGGTAATAAGAATATAACATTCATACATCTATTAAATATAAACTATTCTACTCACTCTTTATCTTAGTAACTAATATAACTTCATTAAGCCTATTTTAATTTATTTTATTTTTGTCATTAACTTTCTTGTATTTTTTTGTTTTTCTTCCAGGGATCTTATGAATTAGAAATCTTTCCTTTAGTTTGAACACTAACAGACCTCGCCAGGCCCAGAGCAGCTGCCCTTTCTGCATCACCACAGCATTATTAAACCTTTGCAGGTCAAAAGGAAGAAATAAAAGAGTATTGGGCATACGTTTATTTTTTTTTTCTTATAAAGCTGTGAAAAAATATTTTGTTTCCTTTTCTAGGACTTTAAAGATTGTGTTTAAATATCAGTCTTTGTCTTTAAGATCAGGATTGCATCAGGAAAAGGACCTGGTGTAAAAACTTTAAGTCTGTGAGCACACTGTAATGACTTACTGTGGTAACGTGTGAAAAATAGAGCAGCCAAAACGACTCATTGTCTTTTTTCCGATACATAAAACTGTGTCTTTTGATGATAATATGTAAAGGCTATGCCTGAAATACTTTGACTTTACTTATATATATATATCTAGATAGAGATAGAGATATATATCTTTTTTTTTTCTTTTTTTTTTTTTACACAGTTCAAGAGTAGCTACAGTTCAGCTCCAAATGTTTCATAACCCTGACATTAAAATTTTAAATAATTCTATTTAAGAAATCTGTATTGGAAAAAAAAAAGGGACAGCCGTCTACTTAAAAATAACAACATGACAAATATTGTTTTAAATGAAAACTAAATGTCATTATTACTGATTAGTTTTTTTTTTTTTTTACATTCCTCCACTGTTATATTGACAGTTTATCATCTAGGGGAGCTCCAGGTCTGAGTTTGAAAAGCCTCCATGTCATCACCCTAATCTCTGACACTTTAAATGACTAAAATGGTCTAAAGAAATATGTGAGGGTTAATCTGATGGGGTATAAACAATTAAGAGCTCTATTGTAGCATTTCCACTACAAGAAAAACATCTGTAACCTGAGCCAAATAACCAGAACTGCAGCTTTTTTGTATGTTTAAATGTTTAAACTGTATTCTGTTTGTGTGTTACTACACTGTCTGGTCTCAGGGAATAAACAGAAACTTTGTATTTTAAAAGTAAAGGAATATGATTATGAAAAGGTCAACATTCTTCAGAGTGGGTTTTAAGGATATGTTAAGGGGGAATGAAATTGGGTTTGTGGTTTTCAAATCCAACTTTTACATAAGGAAGACAAATAAAAACAAAATTTAAACATCTGACATTAATTATTTTAATGACGTTAAGCCATTCCAAAGGGTTTGTCTTACCATATATTCATTTTAAACGTTCAGTAAAAAGATCGAAAAGAGTGACTGAATTAAATACAGAAAGAATTAAGAATTCAAAACAATGTTACACACACACACACATATATATAAAATATCTTAATAAATCTTAACTTTATATGCTGTGATTTAATGTGTTGTTTTTTTTCCGTTGTGGTTAAATATACTGATGAGAAAATAATATTAACATTTGTATTATGTTATTCCAGAGACTGTGCACTTCAGTAATATGCAAAATGACAATAAATTTTAAATAAAATTGCAATGTCTAAAATGTGAAGTGTCTTTTAAAATAAACCGCTTGTGGTTGAAGACTTTCGTAGCCATATAAAAACAAGGAAATTTTATTTTACAGATAAAACAAAAAATACATTACAATAATTACGCAATTCTCAAGATTGCTTAATCTGAAAAATCCTTATCCTTTAAGATTGAAGTATTTTTTTTTTTTACTTTTTTATACTTACCAAGTATTTGTGTAGTAATTATTTTTAATGTTTCTGAGTATATTTTAATAGTTGTAATCAAAATATAATCTCTACAATCGATTAAACCATTAAACTACACTCTATTGAAAGATCTGAGATAGTGGTCCTCCAGCCTACATTTCCCACAATGCAGCGCTGCCACCAACCGATGTGTGGAGATTTGGGTGTGTTATGCTAGTAGCTGCCATGGTAGCGGCTAATGTGCTCTCCATCCGCTAGCCTCCAAGAGGGATGAGGAGCCGGCTAAACAGCACTGGTAAGCAAACTTATAGAAACCGCTAACATGTTTCAGCAGTGACTTTAAACACATAGTCTACAGCCCCACCTACGACTGAATCAGCTGAGCTATTTGACCAGTTAACGTTTTTCATTGCAGGAGCTAACCCAGCAGGTTCGTAAGTCGGTGGAGTTCTCATTTAAACTGTGATTTATTCTAGCAATATCTTTTCTCACCACAAGATGGCGCGCACTTCAAGAAAATGTAAAGAGGCGGCTGATGATAAAAGTATAAAACCGCTTAACTTTGCTAATAGGGGGTGATAACGGTTAAAACCCAATATTAGTTTAACGTCTATAAAATAAAAAAGAAAAACGTGTAAGAAAGACTAAACCAGCGAGTCTTTTTCACAACGGCTAAGCAGCACCACTGAAGTTGGCTTCTGATTCGGTTTCACTGTAAAGGGCTATTTATTTATTTTTTTCATAAATGTTGAAAACGAATAGCTACATTTAATCAAGTCCTTTTTAATTTCATGCATTCTTCAGAGGATTTGTTTCAGAATTTAATATAGATTTTAAATTTAGACGTGTTTACACCTTGCATATTATATATTATTATTATATATATTATTATATAAAGAATATTAAAGTAGAGAATAAAACTGGCCACTGTTGAGTATTTTTTTGTATTTTGGGGGGAAAATAATGTGTTAATTCAATCATATTGGAAGGTTTTTACTTGTGGAAATTCACCCCTCAAGTATTTAATTCAGGTATTAATTCAAACATTCACAAGGCCACCTGAAATCTGTCTTTTCTTATCCATTCAGACATGGACCTGTTTGCATTCTCCAGGCTGTTCCACTTTATAGGCAGTCAGTGTGATTCACTGGTTCACCTCAAATCTGTCTTTCTTAGTGGCCCCACAGCCCCTAAGATCCTACCGGAACTTTCCATCACTCATTCAAGCTGTTTCCATTAGACAGAAAGCTGGTATGGAAATTCATGCTGAACATGCACTTGGCACACTTTTTAAAAATATTATTTTAGCAGTGCCTCCTTTTTGTTTTAATGTATTTTTATGTGTACTTTTCGTACATTAATGCTTTTGTCGTAAGGAAGTTCTGTCGCAATATTGGACAAAGTTTTCTATTGTGTTTAAGATTTAGTAAAAGCGTTGATTGCTTTTTAACTTGATTTTGGTTGTCGTTAGCTGGTTTAGTTTAGTTTAGTTTAGTTTATTTAGGATCCCCATTAGCTGTAGCAAGCTACAGCTATTCTTCCTGGGGTCCAACAACAAAACATGAAATAAAAAATTACAAATGAAATAAAATTATGTGGACATCAAAACAACATTTCAAAGATATATAAAGATACATGTACTAATTTGAACAAATAAAATATTAAACAGCAACAAAAAAACAAACCAAAAACAAAATAACAGATAAAGCTGTTTTGCACAACACAGCATAAAAACATGAGCACTGAAAAAAGCGTTTATACGGAAGAGCATTAGGGCCACTGAGAAAAATCACAAAAGTTAACTGAATTTTTTCATTTTATTTCAGTTTAATATGGGGAAAAAAGTCAGAATTCTGACTTTATTCTCAGAATTCTGGATCTTAATGTTACAGAAGAGGACTAGGGACACTGAAAAAAGAAAAAAAGTTGACTGATTTTTATTTTATTTCAGTTTAATATGGGAAAAAAGTCAGAATTCTGACTTTAATCTCCGAATTCTGACTTTTTTTCCCTCAGAATTCTGACTTTAATCTAAGAATTCTGGCTTTTTTCTAAGAATTCTAACTTTAATCTAAGAATTCTGACTTTTTTCTAAGAATTCTGACTTTAATCTAAGAATTCTGACTTCTCAGAATTCTGCATCTTAATGTTACAGAAGAGGATTAGGGACACTGAAAAAAGAAAAAAAGTTGACAGATTTTTATTTTTATTTTATTTCAGTTTAATATGGCAAAAAGTTAGAATTTTGACTTTAATCTCAGAATTCTGACTTTTTCTTCCTCAGAATTCTGACTTTAATCTAAGAATTTTGACTTTCTTTCTCAGAATTCTGGATCTTAACCTTACAGAAGAGGATTAGGGACAATGAAAAAAGTTGACTGATTTTTAAAAATTTTATTTCAGTTTAATATGGGAAAAAGTCAGAATTGAAGAAATGACGCAACTAGGCAACTTTTTATGTGCCCGATGGGTCCCCTGTGATACTATTTCATCAATGGAAAACCAGAAGGCGATTAAAAGAAGAGATAGTTTAGTCTCTAAAACAGATATGGACACGGCTTGATGCTAACATGTTTGTTAGCTGTTAGAATTAAGTCAGAATTCTGAGATTAAACTCAGAGTTCTGAGATTAACGTGAGAATTCTGACTTTTTTCTCATAATATACTGAAATAAAATTTAAAAATCAGTTAACTTTCTTTTTATTTTGTTCAGTGGCCCCAATCCTCCTCTGTATATATGTATATGTGTCTCTCTCTTTTTTTTTTTTCTTAAAAAAGTGAGCTATTCCTTTGGTTGATCTACAATCCACAAGCGTACTTCTGCTTAGTGGGGCGGCTGTGTCCATAGGGAGGAGGGGCGTGTCGCGGTTCAGGGGCCGATTTGCCCAAAACTTGTGGAAAACTTTTTAGCATGAAGTAAACAGCCTGTGGATCATACTGGGGGACCGCTACTGGAGCTGCTAACGGAGGCTAAACGGAACATGCACATTTTATCAGAGAAAAATCTGAACTGGTTCTTTTAATCTTCAGACAAAAACACATCATTTGTATAAATGACGTTTCAAGTCGCGCACACCATGGTGCATAAATATGGTAAGTAGTCTCCATTTCTGTGTCTTTTTGTTTTTAAGGTTGTCTTTTTTTTCTTTTCTTTCTTCTGTTTTTTTTTTTTTTGTTAAGCACACGTTTTTGCATCTCTAGTTTCAGCTGAAATCCCTGAAGAAACATAAATCTCCCCTCTGATCCTCTGGGAATACAACAAATTATATATTTTCTCTTTCAGATAATTGAACTGAGCTTCTTGTTTTATTTTAATTTTTTTTGTCCAAACCATCATTTAGATTCAGTCTCTGGAAAGTAGCAGATTTCCCTTCATGATGTGCATCATCTGTGCTCCTCTCCACCCACCAGGATCAACAAGCAGAGCAGAGCTGCTTCTGCCAAACACATGCAACTTATTTCTGTCACTTAGGCCTCTAACATGTCAGCCTTTTTATCCCCTCAGGTTAAATATAAGTTTATGGCATTGTGATAAAAGTATTGTGTAAATACACATTCTTGCATATTAGAGGTAAGGATTTGTGACACTTTTTCACATTTTGTGATGTCCAAAAACCTAAATGTATATAGAGGGATTTTAATGTAACTAAGGGTGTACTCTAGGCCTAACTAGACATTCTAATCATCAGGGGCTTAGCCCACAAAATATG